AATTATATAAATGACCTAAGTGGTTAGTTTTATCTAAAACGTATATAATGATTATAAAAGATAAGTGCTAAAACAGGCACGGTGTAATTGAAATAATTTATATTAATAAAAAGATATTTAGTGTAACACTTTTTCGAGCATCGTATTTTATTTTTATAATACTTCTATATAATGTTGAACTAGAACAACATTTTACAACATGTACTATGATTAAATGCTTGAAAAATAATTAATCATGTCACAGAAAGGGATAATGTTAAGTCTTAAAAGTAAAAGGTCTACATAAGAAGGAAAATAAATACAGGTTCGATTTTCCACAGTGGAGAGTTTAAGTTTTTATTTGTTATGAATGTCGTGTAAAGCTACTCGAGGGCTATCTGCGCTAGCCATCCCTAATTTAGCAGTGATAGACTAGACGGAGGGTAGCTAGTCAACACCATTCACCGCCAACTCTTGGGCTACTCTTTCACCAACGAAAAGGGGTATTGACCATCACATTATAACGTCCCATGGCTTAAAAGACGAATATGTTCAGTGACGGGAATTCGAACTCGCGACCCACAGATTGCGAGTTCTAACCACAAGGCTATGCCAGGCACATAAATAGCCTACTTTGTGGCTTTGCACTAAAATAACAACATATTAGAATGAAAATATTTCCTTTTGTTAAAAAAAAAACTACATTAACGAAACAACTTTTATATTGTAGTATATGTGTATATATATATATATATATATATACACATACATTTATATACAAATGAAAAAAACGTTATTACTTGACGAGGGAAGTCATAAATTTCTAAAGAAAATTATTGTACAAACATTGACATCAACATTACATATCTAAATCTAGGTAATGTAAATTCAGTAAAGGTAGCTTGTGGAAAGTAAAATATAGAGTAAAAACAACGTTTACAATGCACAATAAATACTATATTTGACCGTCGATTACCTACAGAAGTGAAACATACATGGAGAACTTCATAAGAAAGAAATTTGACTCATTATAAACTTTAAATATGTTAATTTACATAATAAATTAATATTTCTTTCGAAAACTGTGCACTAACACCAGTTAAGGCTTTATTTGTAGTTAGCAAAAAATTATTTAATGTTTCACTCCTAATGATGGCACCATAAAGCTGTTGAAACGTCTTAAGTAATTTAATGTTGGCCGTCGGCAGCCAAACATTGTTAATGTTGTTTTTTATTTTAAATAAGGTGACCGAGTATCAGATGTTGCACTTTTGTTTCTGCTACCAATTCAGCATGATATATGATGGTTACATAATTAATAAGTATCTGCTTATTCGAATTATTAAACTAGCTACAAGTAAATTTGAATCTAAGAATTTATTCTAAGAATCGAGCTTTTGTAAAAATATTAACGTCGCTCATAACATTAGGAGATCTCATAGGAATAATAATGTAATTTATAGGATTAGAAGAATAGTCAACACCAGTTCGGATTCCAACAACCTGCATGTGAGCTTTTTGTCTAAAGTCAATAGTTATAATAAATAAATATATATATACCTAGGTAATGTGTAATGAAATAGTTTTCTTTGTTTTTCTGGGCGTAAAAGAAGCACTAAACATACCTAGATAACAATTTCTCGATCGGAGGTAATGAATAGATGAAATAAATCTATCACCATTAGATGACTTTTACACTTGACATCTGTTTTTTACACATGACATCTGTTTTTTACACTTGACATCTGTAATCATTGTATTTAAGATATGATCTCACATTGGTAAAATATTTTCATGTTACATCGAAAAAGAAATTACATGATATTTTATAGGAGCGTTTTATTAGCTTTCGTTTTACATAAAAGTTTAACATAGAAAGAAAAGCACATCAAGTTTTAATCAATCGTAAAACTACATAATTTCTAAAACAATGTCTACCATTTCCAAGCCGTTAACCGGAGAGAGACATGAAATAATTGCTGATCAACTTCACGAGAGGCATTATTTAAAATAATAAGAAATTTAAAAGAAAGTAACAACACGAAATGAAACATCGTTATGAAACTTGGCCTAGAAAGCTGACAACGTAAACAAACGTTTTACTTCACAGTTTAAGCAAAGTCAGATAATATCTTGTCAAGGAAAGTGCAATGATTTGCCAAGAACCACGAGTAAATTAATCTGTGACACTTACGATAGCCTGTAATAATTGTAAATGCTGTCACATTTATAACTAAACTGGGCTTGTTCTATTAAATTCAACTACAATATTTTACTTTACATTAAGTAATTTTTGAATACTGCAGACAACTTATGAAATGCTGCTCTACTAAACGGAAAGACAAAGGCAACAACTCGTATTGTTGAATGAATAATTATTACTGGTTTAAGAACTGCCAAGAAATTTAACTTCGCAGTACTCTACAACATTTTATAGCTGTTTGTATAATATTCTTTTGGGAAGAAATTGGGAAACAAATTATTTGTGAATTATAACGCGCATGGGTTTCATGTAAAAAATAAACCAAACAAATTTATGAAACCTTAATCATGACACACAACTCTATAGACTGGAACAGTAACAATTATAAATTTTAATATTATATGACAAACAGTTAATAAATAATATAAAATGATCAATATTTCCTCAACTGTTCTTTGTAATTAAAATGTAAACACTAAGTTTGGTATGATACTATTAAAGAAACTCAGTTATATGCACTTTATAGTTTTTATTTACGCAAGAGTGACTGAATATATTTTGTGAAACTCATAAAAACAAAATACTTCCAGGCCTATTATATATATTTAAATATCACATATCCCTACATTCATTAATCAAGGTGATCCATTCCAATGACATTTTGAAAATCCAAATAAAAACGCCGAATAGAACAATAGTTTTTAATAGTGAAGAGAAAGAGCTAGATAAAAATTCATATATAAAAGTCGAAATTAAATAAAACAAATTGATATGTTTTACAATGCACAAATCATAAATATTTATCAAAAGTACATACTGAATTATTGGTCTAATAAAATAGTTTCTTTATTTTGGTAATAATTTATTCGCGTAACATTGCAGTTTTGGGATTATAAGTTTAGTAGATGAAGAAACAGCGTAGTAGTCAAAGGCAGATAATGCGTAGCTTATAAAACAATTATTTGAGAATTACTTATTTGCTAGTTTAATTTTCTACAGAAAATTAATAAAACAAATCGGTGATAATCCTTATTATAAACAATGTACATTCAAATAACGAATTCAAACAATTCAGCTTTAAGATTTCTCTCATATTTTAACGTACTTGGATGTACATCGTGCTTACATTAACATTCAGTATATTCTAGATATTTATTCTCAAATGTATACAGATATATTCACAGGTTTTACTCTAGTTCAAATAATTTTAAAGATTTTGTTCAAATCGATGTGCTGTAGTACAATAAAATTTTCCCCCCAAAATAATTTTACAGATTTTGTTCAAATTAATGTGCTGTAGTACAATAAAATTTTCCCACAAAAATAATTTTACAGATTCTGTTCAAATTAATGTGCTGTAGTACAATAAAATTTTCCCCCAAAATAATTTTACAGATTTTGTTCAAATTAATGTGCTGTAATGCAATAAAAATGTCCAAAAAATAATTTTACAGATTTTGTTCAAATTAATGTGCTGCAGTACAATAAAATTTTTCCTAAAAAGAAGAAACAAACTCAATTACCAAAGTAACTACACAAAGCTATTAAAATTCGTGGAGGTCCACGGAGGAACTGACTAAGGTCTTAAGATGCTCATCAGGGTTGGAGAAAACTAAGCTTGAAATAACGTATCATCGTATACCATACGATATTTTAAACATATGAAAACTGCAAGATAGCTAGAGACTATAAGGGTTTATACAATCTGTATTAAACAACTTGTTTTCTTTACGGCATTAAGTTCTTATAATTATATAGATTAAGTAAAAGCTCAAAAATTCTTGCTTTACAAAATTACAAAATTTCGTCTTTCACGAAGTTCTTTCTTAGTGAAAATATGTTAGAATTGACTAACTCCATTTGATTTGCTTATAAATGTCCATTTTCAAAAGATCGGTTAAGCTACATGAAGACCTGTCATTATACTAACAGTTATATTGTTGTAGCTATCAAATACCATTTGAAGCTGCATTTGCTTTTCTATTCCATGTAAGAGATTGGAAACAAGCTTATAATAACAATGGTGTTTTTTCTATTTCCTTTACTTATATAGTGTAGTGTGGGTTTTTAAACTGCTAAACAAAAGCTGTATTTCGCAATATCTGTATTGAGGCTAATTAAGTATTAAGATAGTTAACGAAATCGTCACTAAACCTTGTAATCAACATATATGAGTGTAAAAACAAAGTAACAGAAATAACAAGAAGAGGCTTTGATATGACCTACGAAGTATATGATTTGTTTTTACGAGTTAATTGCAATTAGATTTAAATCTGAATGAAATTTTTAGTTTATTTGTTCTATTGTTATATTTGGGTTATAATAACTTCCCCTGTTAGAGTTTTGAAAATTAGTTTGTCATACATATGAAGTGTAAAACTTATACGACTATTTTTAAAGGATGTGTTTCACCTTACTCAATTTCACCAGTCACGTTAATGAGACTACATCAGTAGCTAATCTATTCAATTTTTTTATCTTTATAAATCTAAAGCACTTTATTTGTGAAACATAATAAAGCATTACTAGATTATTAATCAGAAATTTATGGAATAGTTTTTAAGTTTAAGTAGTGATATAGTATGACCAAATATTCAAAAATCACACACGTTAAACAAAACAGGTATATGTAAAATTAGTTTTTCCTCGTTCGAATACAAAACGTTATTGTATAGTTTGAGTATTTTATTATAACTTTTATGATAGTATTATTTGCTAGATGGTAAAATAGATAATCATGTATATATATATTATAAATCTCAAAAGTAATTCAGAATATATGCAACTTATTCTTAACCTGAATTTCATATAACAAACTTTCTGAACAAAAATCTTGAAAAAAAAAGAGTTATAAACGCTTTGCACAATAACTAGAAATTTAACTTATATTGCAGTCGTGATCAATGAGTAATATAATATGAATATTATATCATATATGAATATTTGAGGTTAAATGTTTTACTGATACTATTACTTGGTATTTACTTTCATAAGTTGTAATCGTATTTGTTAGTATAAAGAAATACTACATTTACAAGTTCTGTATTCCGATTTTCCCTAAACATACTTTTAAGGTATTTTAAATCAGAGTCTGCGTGAATATTAATAATATGTAATGTTTAAGTTTATCAACTTGATAATCTTAACATTTTAGTGTAAGTTTATCATTTTTCTGTTGTCTACTTATTAAGAATTTGTTAACGTGGATATTCTAGCTGTTTCATTGTTTATAATCGGCTTAACGAAACACACAGTCAGGTATACGCATTTCAATCTTTTGTAAACATAATATAATTTTAAGGCTTCACAGTCTCAAATACCACTAATTGCTATTAATGATTTTCAGCTCAAATGCTCGAAGTCCTTGTTCGTTTATTTTAATGATATGCATATTGTGTGTACTTTTTTAGAAATGTCAGATTGTTCAGGAGTTGCTTGCTGTAATGTATTTTATAACACGTGTCTTGTAATTGATGATAGAAGCATTTATGAAAAAGTTTATATAAATCAACAAAGTAAGTTTTCACTCTTGCGATGATACAAAAACAAAAGGAAACACGTTTCTATTAAATCATAATGTAGCAGAGGATATACAGATGAGACGACCGAAGGCACACGGGTTAAAGGTGTGAGCATATCGGCTACGGACATGGTCTAACATTAAACATTTTTCTGTATGTTTTTTTGGCTGGTGGGATTAGGGATATTAGTTTCAATAACGTTTCTTCACCAGGTGGCCTTACCTTTGGTAACGTTTGTTTTGTGTAGATAAAAATCATTTTGCAGCGACTTCTTATTGCCGTTTCTTTCACCAGTTGTGTTTCTTGAAATTGGGGGTAAGTAAGCATAAATCTACGTTAGGAAGACTGAAGTTTTAGAGAAATTCTTTGAGAACCAAACCTTAAGATTAATTTATGTATAAAGTATTATGTCTTTATCAGTCATAGTTAATTTAAAGCTTCCTTATCTGGTGATATGCAGGTCAAATAATTGTCAATTCCTGCATCAGAAACGTGGTTATTTTTTAATGAATTTAGAGTAGGTTCTCACACTGGAGTTGTACGCCGTAATGTTTCTAAAACGATATCACGAGACCCTTCTCTGTTGATGTCGACTGTTGTTGAGACAGTGTAACATGTAGAGTCCCTAGAAAACGGGGGGAAATTGTAATAAGCCAAGTCTCTCATGGATTCAGATAATGGTATTCCAGGGTTTGTATTGCTACGCTCTCTACTCGTAGATGGACATGGTGAAGCTTCTCGGGACATATCTCTCGTCCGACTGCTACTTCTCCCACGTGGATGGCGCCTACACGGAATATGGTCTTCTGCAGAGTGTAAAAAATCCTCATACTTCAATCTTTCCGTACATTTCTTGGAATCAATCTTATACCACTGAATATACAAGAAAACAGCAAAGGTTCCAGATAACTCACACATCAGAATGCTAGCAATGGCTAGGGCAAAGGTGTAACCGTACCGATATTTAAACATCGGGCCCTTGAAAGAAGATTTCGGCTGGAGTTTACTACCGACTTCGGCCTTAAAACTTGAAATAAAGATAACCACACCCATTAGAACTAGCAAACCTAAAAGAACAAAGAAAATAAACAAAGTTCAATATAACTGTTACACAATGTATAAAAGGGATTACAAATATTCATTTATTATTTTAAAGCAATATAAAACGAACTGCATATCTATAATCAAATTAAAATGATTTTTAGTAGCTCTTATACAATTTTCGCAGAATTTTACAATTGTACGGTTATTTAAAAAATATATATATCAAACTCAATCTGAGTAAATAGCTTAATTATGTTACTTTAAGTGACAAAAGTCACTTAAAACAAAATTCTCAAAATACTTCCATTCGACAATCATTACTTTTTCTAAACAAGATATTTTTTCTCAGTTGTAGTTCCATTAGTGATATGATCAGTATTTTCTATAAATATTACAGGTATTTTATCTAAATTTTAGAAATAATCAGAAATAAATCAACAAATACAAAGCTTTTTTTTAATACATCTTTTAACCATTTAGTTTTAATTTTGGTTCAGCATTTTTATCAATACATACCTAACCCGGACAAGCTGTTTTTCTGAAGTTAAATAACATTATATGGTTGATTTTTTAATACTACCCTGATATACCCATAGTACAAAATACTGTTACACGAAATTATTTTCTTAACTCTATATTTGTTAAATAAACTAACCTATTTTATTATAAAAACCACACATATTTGATGAACTCACCTAAATTACCACATCTAATATTTTTCATTAATTATTTATCTACTTTTATATTAGGTTTGGGTACTTTGATTATGTTTCGTATCACGATTATCTAACAATGTTTAGTGGTCGATTTAACAGTATAACATTAGTGGATTTTACGTCTGTTTCTTAAACAAAATGTACACGAAAATACGAATGCAACATTTCATTTAACACTATAAAACGTTGTCCACCGATAATTACATTTAAAATAAAAGTAAAGAAAGTAACGTTACGAAACATTTTGGATAAAGATTACATAAAAATCAACATAAAGTAATTTAAAATTTTTCTTTTCTTTTTTTGCGAAGCAGAAACGTAGGAAAAGTATAGTTCTGATGGTAAAGATAAATCAGGAAATTTTAAACTCGATTTTGCTAGAAATTAAGATTAAACAGGAAAAGAATAGTCTTAGCTAAAAATAAAGAACAGTTACAAGAAACAACGTACTTTAATGTAGTCGTAAGTAAAAATTCGAATAAAATAAGAAGGTTGAAGTAAAATAACGTTATATAAGTATCATGTTCAGTTGTTTCATCGTTTAAATCTTAGAAATGACCTCAGACAGAGATAAGAATAACAAACCAAAGCTATATAATATCCTAGCAAGAAAATGTAAAAATTATAAATCATAATAAAATTTCATGTTAAACAGTCAATAAATAACAAACACCTCTTAAATAGAGAAGAAACAATTAATCACGTTTAACAAAGTTGTATTTGTAATGGTTGGAGACGGCTTGAATCGGTAATGAAGAAAAACTTTAATATAAGTTTAACATAACAGCAAATGTACAACGTTTCGACAAGTTTTTGTCATCATCAGGTACGATGGGTTCCTCGTCATCGAAAGTTGTATTAGATAAAGATAAAATAAATAATAATAATAAAAAATTAGCATATAAACATAATTTTGTCGATATAGCTAAAGCAATAAATCAGCATTTAATCAACTTATTCTAAATAGTTGTAAAAATAATTAAATTACTCAGCATACTAAAAATGTTGAGTAGAAGAGAAAAATGGAAAAACGTTGCAACTGGTTTTGATTAATATATGAAAGACAATATAATGAGGGCTTTCATAGCGATAAAACAAACAATGTAACACAAAAATAGCATGTATACAGAGCACAAGCAAAAAACAAACAAACAATATTATCAAAGTTAGTTATAACTGAGTTAAAAATTAACAAAAGATATGACACAGACCTAATTTAGCGACAGATAAGAAAAAAAATTTAGCATAATGCTACCTTGTATAAAGATCAAGACTATATACAATAATAATAACGATATAAATTTGATGAAGGAAAGCCGAAAGTAAAATAGAACATAAGAAATTTAAAATTACAGGCTAAATATTTTTAGAATAACGATTTATGAAATATTAAAAAGGATTTGTTAAACTTAGTTAAAATGAGAAAGTACATAATAGATTAATTTTTATGTGTTTGTTTTTAAACACACAGCTACACAATAGGCTATCTGTGCTCTAACTATCACGGTATTAAAACCCGATATTTTGCGATATAAGCCCTCAGACTTATTTCTGACCACCGGGTATGGGTGGGGAGAAAACGAATAATATTGGTTTATTCAACGTGCTGTAGTTTAGAGGTATTTGTTTTCGAACACTTCGATGCTTTAGCTCCCATTTCTATCAATATAAACCATTGCTAATTCAGTACATCTAGTTATTTATTATTCACTTTGGCAATAATATAGTCATAAAAGAAAACTTTGTGTTCTTTTTGTGTCTATAATGTCAAGTTAAAGAGTGATATGTGTCATAAAAACTTAGCTGGATCCTAAAAGATCAAGTGGAGGTAGTAGTAGTAGTGATAAAAGGCTTGACTGAAAAGTAATCCCACCCAGTCTTTAAGAACGTTCCAAGACAATAGTATTCTGGGATTTATCTGCCCATCCTCCTTTGCAGTCCAAGACAAAGTTGCATCCAATTACATCCCCAATGGACATCCAATATCAACCGAATCTTTAAAAGAAAGCTTATATATTTTTGCTGATCAAGAGCACTTCAGAGACAGATTCTACATAGAGTGGTTTCGAAGTACATTTAAAAACCTAAAGAACAAAACGAAAATCACACTTTATTAGTTGCTATCTTTTTTTTCCAAAACTATATTCAAGTTAATTACTGTGTTGCAAGAAAAAAATTAAATATACTTTATATCAATTGTTTTTTTATTAATTGTATTTGTGATAATTGCTTCTAACAGGTATTATGTGGAAATCAATTTGGAAAAGTCTCTTGGATTAATTTAGGAATACACTATCATATTTTAGTTTCTTTAATTGAGATATCTCATGTTCAACAACTCAATACATCAAATTCAGCAAACAATATTGCTTCATCAATACACGTGTATAACAGCATACAAATAAATGTATGTATATATACATATGTATGCGTATGTGTGTGTATTTTTATATTAGTTAACCGTGTTCCGTTTATCTTTCTTATGTTTTATAACAAATGCTGCTAAGTTACCTAGCTTACTAACCAACCATTTGTTTTCAGTACAAATTAACTGGATATTTTAGTTTCATGGATATAAATAATATCTATCAGCTAACAAAGTAATTATCTTTATTTCATAGAGTGGACAAACTAGCAATTGATATTAAATTAATTTCCAATATAACTATTACTACTTCCTAGCATTACTTGCAAAATCGTTCTGTCTTTTCAGTACCTCGAAATTGTGTAATTTCACTTTATAAAAAAATGTCAGTTTTGCAACTGTCAATCTTGTATATTTCAAAATATAAGAACACAATATTTATATAGTTTTAAAAAGATTTAAACTTCAGTCATGTCAAGATTCCTATTGTTTTTTGTACAAGTATCTTATAATATTTGCTTTAATTATTCTTGAAATACTGCACCTTTTCCTATCTCACCTGACAGCCAACACTAATAAAGCCATAACTATACAACATTTGTGTAACTTAAGATATTCATGACCGCCTCTTTTGCTTATTCAACAACAAGTTAATAACATCCTAACATTGAAGTTTTTATTTCGAACAATCTAACGTTTATCAAACAGTATTTTATACATGTAATTTTAAAAATAATTATTAAAAACCTGTTATGATATTCCCACAAAATAGCACATTCACAGCCATTATGTGACTATTTTCATCTGAACCGATAACATATTTGAGTAGTGTATGATATTCCCACAAAATAGCACATTCACAGCCATTATGTGACTATTTTCATCTGAACCGATAACATATTTGAGTAGTGTATGATATTCCCACAAAATAGCACATTCACAGCCATTATGTGATTATTTTCATCTGAACCGATAACATATTTGAGTAGTGACTGTATTCCGAAGTTTAATTGCTACATAAGACTAAAGAAGTAATCACCTTAAAATCTCTCACTACATTAAATACACTTTCAGCTTGTTT